CCAGTCTAGATATCTTACCTCTCTGACCGAACCGATTTTAAGCAAGCGGGTTACCTCTTCTTTGACTAATTTATTCCTGGCCTCGGCAATAGGGCGTTTCTTCTATCATACCAGTGGTACGTTGGGATCCAAAATCAGCTTGTGCACGGCTATTTCCTTCAGGATACCTATCATATCCTCATGCGACCATGTAAAACAATCAGCGTTAACTTTAAGGAATTCAATAAAACCAGACCTGAGCTCAGGGTGCAGTGATGTTCCCAAGTGAAATTTTCTTTCTATGAATTCCTCGAACAATGCCACTTGCTCTAGTTCCTCTGCCGTGAATTTTGTTGCGTCCGTCTCTTCTGGAAATTAGAAATATCTCGGCACCTGATATTGCTCTGATGACTCTACCCCTGGAATAACCTCTTCTAACTTGGGAGTAGGCGTCGGTTCCTGTAATTGCTATGTCTTGCGCTCCTTCCCTTTGCTACTGGAAACTGAGACTGCATTCATCTTCTTCGTTGCCGGTTAGTCACCTCTTATCTTCTTGATTCCTTCGGGCGTTGGAAACTTCAGCAATTGGTGATACGTCGAAGGTACAACTTTCATCTCGTGTAGCCATGGCCTTCGGTACTCTTGTAGGGAAAAAATTGACCCCTCGAAGTCCGCCTATCCATGTCGTAGTCATCTTTTGATTTTTCTATGTTCTTCTCCCGTCCTTTGGCCGATGATGTAGAACCGACCTGGTCATCTTCGATCCTTATCTTTGACTCATACCAGTTGTGAACATCTGCCCAGGTTGTTGCTTGAATCAAGCAGGCTCTCCTTCAGCTTCCGAGAAGCGTCTGAACTTCTCGGATTCAATCCTTTGGTGAATGCTTCAGCTGCCCATTCATCCGGGACGGTTGGGAGCAACATTCTTTCTTTCTGGAATCGGGTAACAAACTCTCATAACAATTCAGATTCTCCTTGTGCAATTCTGAATATGTCGGCCTTCCGGGCTTGTACCTTTCTGGCCCCGGCATGAGCTTTAATGAAAGAATCCGCGAGCATCTCAAAGAAATCTATGGAATGCTCGGGAAGAAATAAATACCACGTTAGGGCTCCCCTCGTGAGAGGTTCGCTGAATTTCTTTAGCAACACAGATTCAATTTCGTGAGGAGCTAGATCATTTCCTTTAATTGGCGTTGTGTAGGTGGTAATATGTTACTGTGGGTCTGAAGTTCCATCATACTTGGGAACTTTAGGCATTTTGAAATGCTTCAGGATTAGTTCTGGTGTCGCACTTGGCTTGTACGGTAATTGAATATACTTCTTCGAGTTCGGGCCTTTCAATACTGGTGGTGCACCCGAGATTTGATCCATGCAGGCATTTACTTCCCTCATGAACCGTAAAATCTCATCTTTGAATGAATCGTTCTCGTTGTTAAGACCTGATCTACTCCCCCTAGCCCCATCGGAGCTAACTTCACCCCTGGGAGTGTTGTTGTCGACTTTTTGCGTTGTTTGGTCTGCGGGAACAATGGGAGGAATCAGATCACGCATGTTTGCATTATTCGAAGCCCCTGATAGCGCCTGCTTCAGTTCTGTCATAACCTGATCATGGCGTGTGAGACGTCCTAGAATGATTGCATGTTGCTCTTGCAGGATCCTCACAGCATCCGCTACTTGCTCCTCGTCAGCATCATCGGAAGTTGTCTCCCGAACCTGTCGAGGGTACCGTCTGTCATGCACCGGCGTGGCGTCATTCCCCTCATTGCGGTGTCACTGATTGAGTCCTCAAAATGAGGCTGATCCCCTCGAATTTCAGGATTGTGTGCATCGTTAACAGTGTTATCTGCCATTTTTGCGATTTTTTCTAAGGCAAAATAGTCAAAACACGTTAGTAAAAAAGGTAAGGATCAATTTAATTGCACGACTGTCTAGGCCCCATGGTGGGCGTCGCTGTTTACCCATAAAACGATACAGTTAAATTTATACGAAGTTTCTAGACAAGTGAATTAATTTGATTCTGAAATAATATAATAATCGAAGAAATACACAATACTTAGCCTTAGAATGTAGATGAAATAATAAAGTGCTGATTCTGTGAACACGGTTTCCTAACACTGCAATGATGAGATCAAAAAGCAAGAAGGTGAAATTGTATAAAGCTTTGTATAGAATATAGTACTCCCTCCGTTTCAATTTAGATGAGGTGCTTTGACTCGGCACAGAGTTTAAGAAAAATAAGAAGACTTTTAAAACTTGTGGTCTTAAAAGCTTAAGGGGTAAAAACTTTGTGGAGTCATGACATTTGTGTGGTTATAAAAACTTCTCATTAAGGGTAAAATGGGCAAAATGAATAGTTTAAAGTTGAATTATTTTCAAATTTAGAAATGTGTCATTTATTTTGGAACAGACTAAAAAGGAAAGCTCCTCATCTAATTTGAAACAGAGGGATTATATGTTTTTGCGAGAAAATTCGTGTGTCCCTTATAATGGTAACTGAGCTCACTATTTATAGTTATGCCTAGGAAAAAAGGTCCTAGGATCATGCCCTCCTTTAATGCCAATTATGAGGGTCATTGATGAAGATGTAACGGTGAACATAAATGCCAAATTCTCTGTAACGGATCGTCGCTCTTAATGCTGTAGAATATTCCTTAGTAAATGCTACTGGGCGCAAAGCATTTAATACACCTTTATGAACGTTATCATTTCTGGTGACAAGCGGAGTGGCTGCGTTCGGTCCTCAGCCATCTCATCTTGGATTTCACGCGTCCTCCTTTTAGTCAGCCACATGTCGTATCATATCTTACCCTATACATGGAGCTTAGTGCACCGCTCTGTCCTTTTTATGGTGGTGAAGAATTGCGTAAAATAGATCATTATGATCCGGTCCTTCCTGGACCCCGCGCATAGCGATAGCTTATTACACTGGGCTGCCTTTTTACGGGGGTGAAGAGTAGTGTTTCAAGAACTAAACTCATGAGTCATCACTGTCAATAAATTTCAGGATGTGAATGGAGATCATTCCTTGTGTGTGATGTTTGTATACCAAGGAGCTATGTTTGTCTAATATATATATATATATCACAGGTTCGAACCGTGAAATCAGTTATTAATGCTTGGATTACGGTAGGCTACTAATTACATCATACCCTCTTGGGGTGTGACTCTTCTCCGAATCCTGCATGAACGTGAGATGTTTTGTGCATCGGACTATCTTTTTATATAGTAGTAATATGTGTTCAAACAACAATTATATTTAGTAAGATAATTTGATAAAAAACATCGCAAATAATTAAACACAAACGGTCCCCCTGTCAATAACTTAGATCTTTTTAAGTAGAAGCCTAAAGTCTAACTCTATATTAAAGAAGTTCTTTATCTTCAGAAAAATGAAATATATAAAACATCCACAGTTGAGAGCATAATTAGGTAATGTTCGTTACTATCCGTAGTGGGTCCATACAGCAGTTGATTCTGAAGATGCCCTTCAAGTCCTATCTAGTATCTACTAGTTAAAGATGGGGCAAAATATAAAATTGGTCGCACGGCTGAATTAATATATTCGATAACAAAAAGATTGTATAAATTATGTATATTATATATATATATATATTATAGGCTATTATTTTTGGAGTGGTTAAAAATATACATTTCTCTTAAAGAAGATTAACGTCCCGAAGTCACGAGTCGTGCAATTCAAACCTGATGCAACCTGATAAATAACTAGAAAATAACGCGATAAGTTGTGTACAACCAATTAAATTACACTTGTACAATTTTCTAATATCCAAACTTACTATCTATTTCCTCCGGTCCACTTTAATTGATTTTTTGACCTTTTTGCGGTCCACAATATTTAATTTTTTCAGATATCAAGAAAGAATTAACTTTTCTTTTCCAAAGTTGCCCTTAAAGTAAAGAATCTTGAAGTATCTGCTTATATTTTTATGAACAAATTAAGGTTAATATGATCAATTTCATTGTTAATTAATGTTAAAAGGTGAATTTCTTAATATGTGTGAAAATAGCTAAAAATCAATTAAAGTGGACTGGACAAAGTAATACCGTACCATACAGGGCCTATTAAAAGGGAGACACTTCCTAGAAACTACTCCCTCCATTTACTTTTACTTGTCCACTATACTAAAAATACATTTTCATTTTTACTTGCCTATTTTAGCAAATCAAGAGAAAGACAAACTTTTTTTTTCTTGTTTTACCCTTATCATTAATTACTCTTTTCCAAAATTATTTCCCAATACTCTTTGAATGCTATCATTACGAAGGGTTATAAGGTAAAATATATACTACAATTATTGTTTCTTGAGGGGCGTGAAAAATGCAAAGTAAACAATTAAAAGCGAACAGAGAGAGTATAATGGATTATCTATTCAAACGATTTAATTCCGAAACTTTTAATTAATAATGGAGGAATCTCATTCATCGCATAAACATATATTACTCCTTCCGTCTCATATTATGTGTCGCGTTTCTCTTTTACACACCCCTTAAGAAATATTAATTGAGAAATGGATTAGACTATTCTATCCTTATTTATATCTTAAGATATAATATCTCTTTATTGAATATTTATTTTATTTATGTGTTATTTCTATCTTCAAGAACAATTATTACTATAGGTAAAAAAAAATTAATTTTATCTTGAACTTTTGAAATAATTCTAAAATGATAAATAATTTGAGACAACTATTTTTAGTAACTATTCCTACGAGAAAGATGGAGTAAGTTTTTACACAAATTTTTTTCTTTTCTTAATATTTATAATTTGCATTCTTTTAACTATTGAGGTACAACCTCAAATCTCAACTTGCAAGTTGTCTCTGTGCCATTTTGGAGACTAGAAAGAGTAGGCCCCTTAGGGTGGGGTCCAAAGAGAAAAAATATACAGCGGGGCCCTCAAACATAAGTACATTTATTTGTCTAGATATTATAAGGACAGTACTACAATCAATATAAAATCCTTTTTAATCTCTTTAATTATTTTTATACTATTTAATTTTAGCGAAACAGCTGGAGAACTATAAGAAAAAACATCCTTCTCTGGCAAAACAAATCTTTTTCTCTCACTTTTTTCCACTCTCTTTCCTAATGGACCCTCCACCGTTTTCCGGCGGCCCAACTTCCACAACAGCCGCCGTGCCGCCGTCGGGAAACGTTAATTATGCTGACTCAGCAGATTCCTCGCCGCGATCCCGCCACACAGAATCCTGGGACGAGAAGCCGCCACACTCCGCTTCCGCTGTCGGCGGTAAGCTCCGACTAATGTGCAGCTACGGCGGACACATATTCCCTCGTCCCCACGACAAATCTCTCTGCTACGTCGGCGGAGAAACCCGCATTTTCGCCGCCGACCGTAACACCTCCCTCGCCGACCTTTCTGCTAAGCTCTCTAAAACCCTACTCGGCGGCCATCCCTTTTGTTTAAAGTATCAGCTTCAAAATGAAGACCTTGATTCACTTATCTCCGTTACTTCGGATGAAGACCTCGAAAACATGATCGACGAATACGACCGTATGAATATGAATAATTCATCATCTTCTAAAGTCGCTCGACTTCGTTTGTTTTTATTTCCGAGCAAAACTGATACAGTTGAAATGGTTCGAGAAAATTTAATTAAATCGAAGACAATTGGAATGGTTAGAGAAAGTTTAACGAAATCCGATGATTGGTTCGTTAATGTTTTAAATGGTGCGAGTTCTGCTACGGTGTTTTCTGAAACTTCGTCTGTAAATTACCTTTTGGGTTTGGATGATGACGTGGAAAATGTCAAAGATGACGTGGAGGCACAATTAGAGGTGAAAAATGGTGGAAATAATGTTACGGTTAGTGCGCAGGATGTTATTCAATCGGTGCCGGATTCTCCGATGGTTGAAACGACGTCGTCTTTTGGGTCGATGTCTTCTTTGAATTTGCCGCCGATAAAGGTTCATGTTGAGGAGAATCAAAAAGGTGGAATTTTTGAGGATCAATTTTCACAGATGACTCTTGGGGTAGTGAAGCAGAAGCATGAGGAAGGAGGATTTGTGGATTTATCTTCGCCGCCGGCACCGGCTGTTTTAGTGCCGGCGACGGTTTTTTCCGGCGTGCAACAGCAACAGCAGCCTCCGCAGTTGCAACCAAAGCTTGTTATTCCATCTGATTTGCCTTCCCCTGATTCAGTCTCAAGGTAAATTATCTAAAAGATCTTTACTTTAATGCATGGACGGTGTAGAAAAATAGTAAATGTTACTTAAAAGGTAATTGCAGGTAATTTTACTTGACAGTAATAGCATTGATTGATAATCTAGAAGAAATCTTAACTAACTTGTTCTAACAGGTTAAATTACCGTGGCAGTGCGTATAATTAATTCTTAAAATATATGTTTGTTGAAACAAACCGTACTAATTGCTTGACAAATGTGTTTTGTGATCCTTTTTATTAGTGCTAAAATTAGGATCTTGATTCAATTTGGTGCAGTGAGGGTAGTGTGACAAATCCATTGTCTAGGCAAAGGCATTTCTTTTATCAAGAACCAGGGGTTCAATTCCAGTCGGGGAGTGGTAGGATTTCTGGTAATTCAGTTGATCCGAAGATGAGCGATTCGATTGGAAGGGCTCAGGTAAAACAGCAAGTTCAGGATACTGGATATGCATTGCCAGTACAATATGCTCAGCAACAGCAAATGCATCAAACTCAACAGTTTGTTCATATGGGGCAGTATATGCAGCATACGCCTTCCGGCCCTGTGCAGATGGCGTCTTATTATCCTATATACCCTTCACAGCACCAAACTCATCCTCAACAACACCCTGCTCTCGAGCACCAGTGTCCCGTTTACTTTATTCCTGCAAAACCTTCCCAAGGTTACAGTTTGCCGTTGCAACAAACAAATTATACTGAGCCTTCTCAAACAGTCCCTTCTGCTCGTCCCCAAACACCTCCTATTATGGTCACTCACACCGCAGCTTACAATCCAGCTAGAAATCCTCTGACATCTAAACCTGAAACAGTTGCTGGTACATACAGAACTGCAGGTGCGGGTGCAGCGGCTCCACAATTTGTTCAGATCACTTCGGGCCAGCATCAGCATCAGCCACAGTATATGGCCTACTCTCAAATTCATCACCCTTCTCAGTCAATTCCTCCTACTTCAGCCACTACTGCCAGTTATGCATACGATTTTGCTGATCCTACGCATACAAAGATGTACTACACTCAGCCTCCTTCTCCCCAAATGGCTGCTCAATATCAAACAATGACATCGGCGCCTGCAGTTAGCTTTAAAGAAACTTCTTCTCAGCTCCCCGTTGAAAATTTGAAGCAGCAACTTAGAACTTCGCAGGCATGAAACTGTGAGTTGAACATGAAGAAGCAATTTTGAAAAGTTGGTTTGGTAAATCTTAAATTTTCTGTTAAATGCTTGAATTCTTATTGTTATTGGTTGGTTCAAATGTATAAGTTATGGGTAATAAGAAAGTTGGGTCTTTCTTTTCTATTCTTCTGTAAGTAATGCTGTTATTACCCATGAAAGCATAGTGGTGCAAGATCTTACGGTGAAATTTCAAACTGATATTACATCCTCAATTCAATATATGGTTTTCAGAACAAATATAAAATTAGTGCAAGCCCTGCATATATTTGTTGAGTACATTCCTCTAACTTGTTTATGCTAATTGTATATGCCTTGTTTCGTTAAGATTGAGATGTGAAATAGGGGAAAATTGTCCATTAGTTGATGAGCAAGGCTTTTTGACTGCAATACCTAGCCATTTACTCCTCCGTTCACTTTTACTTGTCACGTTTTGACTTTTTACGTCCCTTAAGAAATAATAAATGAAGTGCATAATTTATCATGATACTCATATTAATTGATGCATATTTTATTGGATTTGAGAAAATAATTTGAAATGAGTAATAAATATTGTGGGTATAACAGAAAAAAAAATTATCGTTCTCTTGATATGCGTAAAGTGACAAGTAAATATGAAAATCTAATTTTAGTATATATATCAAGTAAAAGTGAACGGATGTAATATTTGTTTATTTGTTTTTGTTTAACTAAAATGCTCTGCATCTTTATTTTTATTTAACATCACATTAGAATATCGCATTTCCACAACCTACTCCCTATGAAAAATATATATATATGTGTTCACTGATTCTCATGTCACTTTTAATGTGGTGCTAGATTACTAACCTTATGTTTTTTTTTAAACTTCATTACATAGTTAATTATTACTATATTATACTTAAAAGGTACGAGGTTTATGACAAAGTTTGTACTATGTTGTGTCACAAGCTGCCAATTATTTGCTGCAGACAGTTGAAGTTTTAAGCAAGGTGGTTTGCTGCTGACTCCTTGCCATGTCATAACCAGCACATTTATATGGCTCATTTCAATAGATAACTGATGTGTTTACCTATAGATTTTTCTTACTTAACCAGGGTTATTCAAATAGTTTTACATCATTAAATTACTTAACTATTGTAACTTTATAAGTTGATATGATCCGGTGTAATTTAGGCGATCAATTTTATCATTTATTCAGGCCTTGGTGGATAGTGTTTATCCGAAAAACGGATAGAGTTGAATTTGTACGTAGTTCTAAGGATATGTGGTGCAATTTCATACAAATCGTAAGGATAAATAGAAATATCAAGTATAGATTGCAAAGAATGCAAAATAGATAAGATTGTAAAGAAGATGAATTTTAGGACTAAACAAGTAGAATCAATTTTAGAAGTTTGAAAGAACAACTCTTCACTTATATGAGAATATGGTACTTGAATTACAATGTATGCCAAAAAACTTGCCCTCTACAGAAATAATAACCATCCCCTTTATAGTAGAGAGATCTTACTTTAGATATAATTAAAAATACACAGTGGGAGATCCATGATAAATCAGTTTTTCCACAATTCCTGCCAAGATTCTCTCCTCTAGTCGGCTCTTGTCTATGAGCTCAATATTGACTCGAGTTTTCGGTATTGACTCGAGCTCTCGATCTTGGTTGAGTTCGATTCTGACTCTTGAATTGATTCGGGGTCAATGTTGGTCGGTCTCTGGATCATAAGCTCGATAACTTTACCTTGCATCATAGTTCGATTTGGATTCGAGCTTGATAATGATATCGAGCTCGACATCGATCGGCCCCTCGGGCTCGAAACTTGTTTGTACCATATTCGGAACCCATTTCGAAGTCTCACTTCGATCGATTATCTTTCAAACTCGATCAAACATACGAAGGCTGAAATCTATTTCGACAGTATACAGATAGTCCCCTCGTTTCTCAAGAAGAATGTGCTGAGAAACGAAGTGATTTTTCAATGGCTCGATCGGATTATAAGCTGACGTTTTCATTGGGCTCGATCATGACGCACGTGATAGCTGTCCCATCGATTTAGTCTTTCAAGGTATTTAATGCATGTCAGACGATGGTCGGCCACCGCTGATACTGAACTGCCATTGCTTAAACCTATAAATAACCCTTCCTTTTATCATTTACCATTTTTACATCTTCAATCTTCCAAATTTCCCAAGTCCCTTTTCGTATTCTTTGATTTACCCGCAAATCTGTGATTTCTCTTTGCAAAAAGCCCCTCTTCAAATTTACCAAATCTTTGTCACTTTCTTTTATTCCTGACCTTTGAATTCGAAAATGGCGAAAACATCACAAACCATTCCTCAGAAAGAGAAAGTTTCATCTTTACAGTGTGTCGCCGATGAGACACCGGCAGGACCACGGCCTGAAGAGTGCGTTCTCGGGGCGTGTGTTCTTACTTCAGATTTTAAGGTCGATAAAGGTTCATCGGTCCCTGGCCGATGTGAGCCAGTATCGAGGTACATGTGTTCGATAACCGAGAAGTACCTCAAACAGCTAAAGAAGATTGCAATTGGGAGAAAAAAGAAATAATAATTCCTACTTCTGACGAAGATATCACCACTTACGTGAAAGGGTTTTTGAATGTGTATACTTATCCTTTCATGTTAGGCCCCCTCGATTCTGTTATTATTGACTTCTGTCATCAATACAAAATAACCCTAGGCCAGGTTCATCCTTCTTTTTGGCGGATCGTTATTTTAATCCGATATTTTGTGAACAAAATCGAGGGGATGTCGTTCACCCTCGACCATCTCATCTGATTGTACCGTCCTCGACTTTTTCGAGAAGGGTTAATAAAACTTCAGCGTCGGGCTACCAAGGCTCTGTTCTCAAGCATTGACGAGGACATGGATCAGTGTTGGATGGGCAGGTTCGTTCGAGTGAAGACTTCGGACCTGCTTCCGACCGAAAAGATGCCCGTTCCCGAGGAGTGGAATATGAAACGTAAGTGTGATTCTGTTGTTACTTCCTTCTATTTTGTTCTTTCATTTCTTTTCTCATCGATACTCTTCTTTTTGTGATGCAGCGGTTCCTTGGATGCCCGGAGCAGTTTCCGATCTCAAGAATTGGGTACGAGCTCTTGCTTCGACCTCCACAAATGCCGAGCGCTCATGGCTTGATTTGTCAAAGGGTCGATGGGAGGCCAAAAATCATGGTAAGCCCCTTTCTCGTACTCTTTGGTAATTCGAACGAGATGCTTTCCAAATATTTTAATAAATTTTTTCATATGTAGGTTTGGGCAAATATGCAGTTTTGAGGCCCTTGTCCCACGAGGAAGAAACTTTGGCCTCTGTCCCAAAGCCGGTGAAGGAAAATAAAAGGAAAAGAGCCTCCGTTCCCGAAGATCCAAAACCGAAAAAGAGGACGGATCGTAAGCCGAATAAGAATGCCATTTCTTTGACCGTAGAATCAATTCTGCATCTAAGGGACGAAGAGAACCACCAAAGAAGAAGAAGAAGAAGAAGAAGAAGAAGAAGAAGAAGAAGAAGAAGAAGAAAATGATGGGTCCGCACTGGCGGCCCGAACGAAGAGAACCACCGATGTCCCATCTACAGCTGGATCGATGGTGCTTCATAAGACTCCGCCTCGAACTGAGGGTATACTGGAGAAAGATTCGGGCGGAGTCCTTAAGTTATCGGAGATCGAAGACGCATCCCATCGGAGACAACAGATGGGGAATATGTCTGAAGGGACCCTTATTGAATCCCTTCGAACCGAAGAGAATGCTCCAAGTGATTTATTTGGGGCAGCAGCAATCGAAGACTCGCCCACCTTCGCTGCTTTTTCCGTAGGGGTGATTCGAGAAGCCCAAGCTTTGGGGCCCTCGATCTAGACAGGCCTCATGATGGAGAGGATCCTTTTCGTGACCTTTTTATCGGTATCGAGGACGTTGTCGGTACTAGTGATGCATCGGATATTTTTCACGGGGTGCAACATGCTTTGAATCAGGTAAGCCTTAAATTATTTCATCGGTACTACTTTTATTTTTACTTTTCGTTTATAACTTCATTTTTTGTTTCTTTGCAGGTAGCGGCAATTCATCGGGAAGCATGTTCTCGGTCCAAAAACGAGTTGCGTCGATACGAGGCCGACCTTCAATGGGTTACTGAAGAGAGGAACTCCCTTAAACTTCTCTTAGGTCAAAGGGGAGATAAAATAAAAGACCTCCGAGCTGAGTTGGACAAGGCTTACCGAGATCAGATCGATATGTCTGAGTAGGTAATGATACTTTTAAAAGACTATAGGCTTGATACCGGAACGATGGCTAATTTTTCGGTCTCACAGTTGCAGCAAAAAATCGAGATGATCGGGAAGCTTCGTGAGGAGGTCGACATGATAAAAACGAAATCTTTATAGTGGAAAGAAGGTATGGACCGCTTCGTTGCAGAGAAAGAAACTGCTCGAGCCCAGTTATCATCGGCCGAAACCCAACTTCAAAGAATGAAGGGAAAAGGCCTGGTTCAAGCAAGAAGAATAGAGGAGCTCGAGGCTCGGTTGACCTCCGAACTTGCCAAGGCCAAATCTGATGCCGAAAAGGCAAAGGCCGATGCGGATGCACTCGTGGCCGTCTATCGGGCCGATGCTGAAGCTGCCCAGATAGAGGCAAGAGAGGCAGCTGATACTGCCGACACTCTAGCACATTGGGCCACTAAACTTGCTAAGTGTCGATCTCGGAGGAAAACCCTCGAGGAGATCCACGCTCGAGGTTTCGATCTTGCTGAAGAGATAAAAAGGGCCAAAGAACTCGAAGCTGATGTTGAAGCCTTGGCTTCCGATAGTGACGATGATGATGATGATGATAATGGTAGTAAGAGCGGGTCCGAGAATGGGGGGAGCCCATTGGAGAAGAGACTGCTCCCGGTGATAGCCCAGAAGCTTAGCTCTTAGTTTCTATGTTGCAATTAATCATGTAAATAATCTTTGTATATATATGCAAATATCTTTTTTCTTTTACTGACTTGCTTTCGCTTTCTTGCCTTGTGAAGATTTCATTCATGCCTTGCGAATGTTTTCATAAGGATTTAGGCAATTTCATCGAATTCGGACTCCGTAGCCTTTATGACCGAGTGAGTGTTTGCTCGAACTCGAAATAAAAGTAGCCCGTAGGCTTAGTAGTCGAGTGAATGTTTCGAACTCGAAATAATGTAGCCTGTAGGCTTAGTAATCGAGTGAATGTTTCGAACTCGAAATAATGAAGCCTGTAGGCGTAATGGTCGAGTGAATGTTACGAACTC